ATCTCGCTAATGTAGATTTTGACATGACCATGTTTTAGGGATGTTTCGTTTCACAAGAGCGCATATAGAATCAGCAATTCTTTACCATATAAAGCCGGCATATTTTATTCTGCAGGTAAGAATTCTTGAAAAAAAATTTAGTGGATATCGATCAGAGATGCCATGTTCTCTTTGAAGTCCATATTTGACAATTTGTGATAATTCGCTCTGAAGTTTAAAGGAAGAGAAATTCGTAAATTACTCCCCTTTTCCAAACGATTGTGGAATTGATAATGGCCATAAAGATTTTCCTCCAACTGCAATAATCAACATACAGGAAAATGTTGCAAAGAACGCGGAGATTAAAAACTGCGTTAAAGCTTAAGGCAATATAAAAATATCAATTAAATATTTGCACCGCGCGCGTCTGTGTCCGATCTATATTTTGAAGATTAAGAGCTTTTTATTATATTATAGCAAGACGCACGCGCAGCATTATCCTTTCTCTATTCCCCAGCATTTAAATGACTAGACCAGTCAAAATGACTTGTGTTCAAGCAGGTGAATGCGAAATCGTGATTGTCTAATCAAAATTTAAAGAATTCTGTTGCTCTGAGTAATTAATTTGACTCATAATTTGCAATCAAAGCAGACTGAAAAGTTTAATTTGAGGAAAATAATGTTCATTTTCATTTTTCTATTAAATCAATAAATTAAAGAAAAATAAACCTATTAACCTGGATATTTTTTCTAGAATTCATGAAAGTACAAGATTTGTCTGGCACATCTGAAGTGAAAGATAAAATGTGACCTGCTGACGTCTTCAATATGGAAATATAAAAACACGCGTACAATAAGTGTTCAAGTTTTCCACATAAAAATCTGATGTTTGATAATTTAGTGAGCGTTTCAACGTTCCATCATATATATATATATATATATATATATATATATATAAAAATTCTGACTATTGTCCTCGTCTTTGTCGCCATATTTATTACCACGTTTTGGCCGTTATACGCTCCGGCTTTCTTCAGGTGGTTGTAATATCGAACTGAACCCTTTATTTCACTCACTGGCGTAGACTGTTCTAGTTCCACGTGCCATGTTTAATGGATGTCAGTTATCAGTTATCTCCTGTTAATTTCCCTCTGAAAGTTCTCCACTGCCTTAACCGGGTATTGAACTCACACTCTTTGGGTCCTGTCACGGGATCGAGCTGTCCCGGTTAAGGCAGTGGAGAACTTTCAGAGGGAAATTAACAAGAGATAACTGACATCCACTGATGATAACTCACAGATACTTATATATAATAAATATATTATATATATATATATATATATATATAAAACAACGCCTGTCCGCAAACTTTATGGAGGATTTTCAGACCATCAGATTCGATTGAGCATCTTTTTTTTTATTTTTTTTTTATTTACAAATTTTTGAAAACCGAATTTTATGCCTGTAAGTTTTTTTATAAACCGTCAGGCTTAATTTTGGCAGCATTTTTGCATCAATTGGAGCCTCACATATACAAAGTTTTAAACATCAAATTTTATTCAAGTTATTTTTTATTAACCATATGGTTTAATTTTAGCAGTTTTTTTTTTTAGTTTTTTTTTATTTATTTATTTAAAGAATACATGGTAATAAATTTCTTGTCTTAAATGTTTTTCAAATACTCCCCTTAAAAGAAAGTGTAGCAAACAAACCTAATCCATTGTATTGTTTTTATTTAGTTTTTTTATTTATATTTTCTTTATATTTTTAATTTTTTTATGAATTTTTAGAGAAGAAAGAAGACTGTCACAATACAGTCTTCCTATTCCATTTTTATTTATTTATTTTACTCAGATTAGTTCATTTGGTCCTGGCGGAGTAGCAAGAGCACCCGGCGTTGCCTGGACTAAAATAACTTCAAATATAACACAGGAAAAAGTGTTCTTAATATATTTCTTTGTACATAATCTCTTTTATTAGGCGATTTATTATCTGTCGACATACAAAATTTCACCATAACATTATTTTGATGTCTAAAGTAAATCGTGTAGATTTTAGATTGACATGTCTTCGGGGTACATAATGTTGCATAATTTATTAGATGCGAGTATGCAAATGCCGTTTTGGGGTTCCAACCCAAGAATATCCAACATGGAGCAGGTCATAGAAAAAAAACATGAAACTAGACCAAGGCCAGTGATCTTGATTAGGGCCGGTACGTACTACCTCGGACCCCCCCCACCACCAGGGGAGAGCCTGATTGGGGATTCGGGCAGAGCTTTGTAACCCTCGCTATGTTATCAATATTTTGGGGTTTTTTTCTGCCTATATTTATATACATTACAAAACACATGATTATTAAAGGATAAAGCATTTTTTGCGGATGTTGACGTCATTCTGGGTGATTTTGTTTTCTCCCCCCCGCCCCAAATTCGTGAATTTGTTTTGATCATGCTAAGGCTCGCAAAAACACTATAGTAAACTCACTACATTTTATCCATAATGCTGAGTGTTAAAATTTAACATTTTAACAAGATAAATCTCATTGATGTTAAAAATTACCGCAAAATATTGATTTCTTTAAGATGGAATGATCTATTATGACATGTCTCTAATTTGTATTTAGATGCAATTTTTCTAGTTGAATTGTTCACCTATATTGCATATGTCCCATTATTGTACATAATTATAGATTACAATAAAATGTGTATTTTATATGAATGCTACCTTTTTATGAAAATTGAGACGTAGTAGAGTGGGGTCTCCATTTCATAGACTGTGACAAGACCCTTGCACTGGCCCTATATCTTGATAGATTATCTTTGTGTCCTGTTGATAGTCCTAACAAAGCAGAACCTCACTGGAAATTGAAATCCCTTTCAATTCAAAGGGCATGTATGTGGAATTAGAGATCCTGGCAATGAATATATCCTCATTTTTCATCTATCCGAATTAGACTATTTGTCTGGATAATATGCGGCGAAAAAGTGTCTCACAGGCGAGTGCAACTGCAGTTTTAGTGGATCGAGAAGTATGATGACACTAAAATATTTTAGTAAGTCTCTGGAGTAGAGGTGGGGGCAGAGAGACACCAGGCATCTCTTGAGAATTGAAGAATTCAGTTGGGTTCTGAGCCACATCAGCAATGTCATGAACTGTGTCAGCTGAATTGTATGACTGAAACTCCCCGGGAATCTGCTGCAGTTGCTTTGAGTTTATTTATTTGATTGCATCATTTGTTGAAGCAAGAATGCTCACAAAGCCGCTGGTAGTTTCTGTAGTTTTTACCATGTTTTTCACATTTAAAATGCCTAAAAAAAATAGTTTTATCGTGAAAATTTTAGAATTGCATAATTTTACAAGCAAAAAGAAAAGTTTTTTTTTTTCTTTTTAATCCTTTCGTTTAGCTGAAGAAAAAAAAGCTATTTTAATCTTTAATTGACTTATTTGTGTATTTGGAGGTCAGCACTACCTACGTTGTTTTTTTTTTTGTTGTTTTGGTTTTTTGTTGTTTTGGTTTTTTTTTGTTTTTTGTTTTTTATACCGACGAATCAAATTTGCCCAAGAATGTGATTGTTTGTCTGTGAGGGGTTACCCCACTTACCTGCCAAAGACCATCTGCTAACAACCGATAGACTATTGGCAAAAGCTGTGTATAGGAAAATACAGCGAGTCTCTTTCTTTCTTTCTTTTTTTTTTTTTTTTTTTTTTACCCCAGTCAAATGCCGAGAGATAGGCGACTCTTTCTCCTATAGGGTAACTTCTCAGTGACCAATGAACCACATGCTGCATTGATCAATGCAAAATAATATACAGCATACACATTCCCTAAATTTACTTGATTTCACGCAAGCATATCAAAGAATTCTATCAAATCGATACATTTCAAAATGTCTCATCTTTCATAGGAATTTTACGTACATGTACTTCCCCGCAAAAAGGACATCTCTACATACACAACTTCATTCACTCACGTTTGTATTCTTTCTATTTAGTTAGCTTAGGCAATAAAATATGCTGTTTTTAGTTGTACGTAATTGTTTGCATTTTCATTCGTGTTTTTTCTCGTTTCAAATGTTAATGCTGCTTAATGATAATACGAAACTCAAATCATTTATTTATACATTACATTTTATTCAGCTCTTGACTTTGTCAATTACTATTGGCTAATGTACATGAACGGTAATGGACCTCTCATCCGAAGCGTGGGTCTTAATTCTCGTGGGTGATGTCTAAGTAACTACCCTCTTACCGATGGGGCGGGTGTTTATATATCTGTCTTTATCAAGCGGCTGAATTGCGAATCTGCACCTCTGGGTAAAAGGTCATCTTAAGTCGGCCCTACACCAGGCTTGCTTAATTGTCTAACCTAATATTGAGTGCAAAGTCTATTCTGATATGATCTATGGTGAGGCATTTACTACAAAAGAAATACCAAATTCTATCAACATATCATTGTTATTTTTGTTAAAACATTCTTCAATAAATCGGACCATTCCTTCAACAGCTGCAGTTCAAAATCATGAAGACCACAAACTAATTCTACTGCTAATTTGATGGCGGACTTCTGCTTTATCTTAAATGACATCCGATCACAGGCGTATTTATGGAAAGTTGTGTTCAGGGCCCCTATCTAAATATCTGATACCCTACCAAACTGCAAAGTAGACTCGGTTCAGAAATAAATGTCAAGGCCATTAATATGAATAAAAAAAAGTAATGGTTTATGTGTGTACGAGTTCTACTTAAGCTTAGTTCCCAGGAGGCGCTCAAGACAGGGAACCTCTCTGAGGGGGACACTCGTTCATAGCGATAGCCGAAAATCCAGGTCCTGCTCGGTGATTATGAAACGTCACTAGTTTGATTTTCGAGGCATTGAATGTGACCAGGCAGTTTTCCTCCACTGAGCTGTTAGAGCGAGGTCAGAGGAGAAATCAGCTGCCAGGCCCTGGTCATCTAAAGTTTTGAAGGGCATCTATAAGTAGTATCATCAGCATAGATATTCACAAAAGACCTGGCTTACTTGCAACACCAGTTCCCGTATGATCACCGAAGTTAAGCAACTGGTCAGTAAATAGATGGGTGACCGCTTGGGAATACCAGGTATTGTAAGTTTGGATGTGCGGATGGTGTAATGGATAATTGTTCGAAATTGTTAATCGGAGAGCCGAGTTCCAATTCAAGTTGGGTTCGTTATATTAACTGACGCGCAAATAGTCTTGTGAATTGCATGAATCCACCTCTTCTTCCCCCCAAAGCTATGGGTTAATTAGTAAGACTTGTATCAGTAAACTATTATCCCAGTCAAAAAATTGTTACAATCTAAAAAAAAAATTCTGGCTTTAAATGACTTGGTTGATAAGCCGTAGAAAATGAATAAATCAAATCGATCCCAGAAGATCTGAGTATACACTTATGCAGATTCTTTATATAAAGTAGAGTTGGACTGAGAAGCGAGCTTTAGGAGATTCTTGCATGAATCTTTTGGGGCCTCCGTTAATAACTAACTTCAGGAACCTAACATATCATAAATTGCGACGTACAAACAACCTCGAGATTTTTTGCTCCAAATTCTGAGTTAAGATATAGTTGCCGTACAGGCTAACTCCCCACTTCCACACACACGCACACCAAAACATACAGTAGGCTACCAATGACCAAAAACGAATTTTAGGCTTGAAAACTCGACTTGTACGCCGCAATTTACCGTATTCTTTTTACGAAACTATTATCATAAAAGCAAAATCATTTAAAATACGTGACATCAAGCTATAGGAAAACGTTTTGTCATTTACATTTTTAAATGAGAAAAAAAAGAATCTTTTTAAGAATCTTTTACGAAGTCTGTCTGAAAAGTAACGGAAGTGGGTGTGCTGAAAAGGGAAAAGCAGATTGTGTTATCTGACATATTTGGCAGTATATAACTGTTATCTTAGTTTTCTGCAACCATTGCAATTTTTTTTTTTTTTTTTTTTTTTTTTTTCGCATGTTTTTGTTTTGGCAGGACAAGTCGTGGCTGCTTCACCACAACAATGTACCTCCTCACAACGCCCTGAACATCCAACTGTTTCTGGCAGAGAAAAGCCTCGCCATACTGGAACAACCTCCCTATTGACTGATGCATAGTGTGACTTCTTCTTTTCTCCAAACTCAAAGGGATCATCAAGGGGACCCGTTTTGAAGGCGTGGAGGCTTTCAAGAAGGCCGTAGCGAAAGAGATGAAGAGCAACTAAGAATAATCTTTCCAGCAGTGCATAAAAGCGTGACAGAAAAGGATGGAAAAGTGCATTAGACTCGAGGAGGGTTACTTTGAAGGGGAAACCATCTAGTTTGTCTGGAATTTAAATAAATTGTTTGACGCCAGTACCGTTACTTTTCAGATAGATCTATGTCGCTGCAAAATCATCTTTTTAACGTTTCAATATTCGAGTCGAATATTAATAAACCTCTAACTTATACAAGTATAATAACGCTACAAAATATATTTTAATGAGTTCTTACATTATTGCTGCAAGAAGATAAGTGGAAACCAGGAGTTGAGAAATATGTCGGTTAGGCCTAAAACTGCATCTTTCTTACATTCACAGATGTAAATTTGTCGATCACACCCACTCAACATCGAGGTCAACAAAAACTGTCGCTGGCAACTAGTATAATGCGACACTGGCGATGTCGAATGCAATATTCGACAATGACATTGCCAGTGTCGAATTATGCCATATCATTTAGTGCTTAATGCATAATTAATGAATATTATACTACAAATTATTTATTCAATAGTGTCGTGGGAACCCATGACACGTGCCCTATTTGCCATATCCAAAATACGCCTCTGCCTCTGCATATTATTTTTTCTAAGGCCTTTGGGCTGTCTGTTCAAGAAGCTGGGTAGCAGAGATTTCCTATGTGATTGTCTGGACATACGCCTCGGTTAGGCATAGCAGTAGTGAGTGTGAGAGGGAGAGAAAGATTTCTGTTTGATGGCGTATCAACTGCTTGTGGGTCATTTAATGCTGAAATTTAATTTTCTTGGGAGCAATGTTATTCTGCTTTCACAATTTAATACATGGTAGATGATACTCCAGATGCTACCACCACAGGTCAGGGTGAACCTGGGAACAACAGCAATTAAGAGGGGGTTACACGCTCCTCAAAACCACCAATCACCCTTGCTATCGGATGTAGTTTATCGTCATACCTAAGACTAGTGAGAGTGAAATTTAAATTGTTCTTGGTAGCAGTGATTTAAGTTGTATTCATCAGAAGCAACATCCCCTTCAAAAATAATGCCTGAAGAAATACTTGCTATCATAAGTTTCTTGAAAATGATCTCAAAGAGCTTTTTCCGCTCCACTTTCTCTTGAAAAGGACTATCTCACAGATAGTTTCTTTTTATTTTATTTATTTATTTATTTATTTATTTTTTTTTTTTTTTTTTGATGGGGGTGGTGGTGGGGTGTTTTTTTTATTTTTTATTTTTTTTTTTTTAACTTACCTTCACCCAGTACAAGGTTCAAGAACCACTCAAGGCAGAGGGTTACTGAATGAGGTGTGTTTATAGAAATGTGATGACTGAATGGAACAGAAATTTTCCCGGACTTCACGTTTAACACATGCATTTTCAGAACATGGGTTAGCATTAATCAATCGTTAATATGCAAATGAGACTGACAAGTTTAAACAAGGGAGAAAATCGTCGACATTATTTATTGCGAGCCGCTACATATTTTTTTGTCTTCAATACAAAATAATTAAACTATATGCTATAGTTCATTTTTTCATAAGTCGTTCCTTTTTTTTTTTTCTTTTTATTCTTTATTTCTTTTCCCCGTCCCCATTTATTCTTTCGCTAATTTTATTATCATTTCTCTCTTCATTTCTTTTTTTTTCCGTTCTTTTTTCTGATTTGTTTGTTTTTCTTTTATGATATAGCTTAACGTTTTCTCTACCTCCCTCTCTTTCTACCTCTCTTTCGGCCTCTCTCTCTCTCTCTCTCTCTCTCTCTACCTCTCTCGGCCCCTCTCTCTACCTCGGCCTCTCTCTCTCTCTCTCTCTGCATATCCATTTACCCTTTTTCTAATTAACTTTTTTCTTTCCTTCCTTTTATTCTGTTTTATTTCAGTTTACTCATTTTACCTGTTCTTCCTTTCTTGGCCTCAGACACACAACAAATAACCCGAAATTGTTTGTGCGTGTTTTTTCTTTTCTTTTTCTTTTTTTTCTGTAAAAAAAAAAAAAAAATCACCCTTTTCCCTTCTCTTTGAGTGTTTGCTCATTAACAATTTCAACAATCCAGGAGACATTTCTGGCAGCTGGGTGGTTAGAGGTAGTAACTTTGCGTTAGGTAGGCTATGTAGCTGGTAGAATCTGCTGAGACCAGGAAAGAGACCGAGCTTATATACCTGGCGCCATCGGCGTCAAAGTAGCAACTAACCTGATATAGAGAGATTTCTCAAAGTAACTTATAGATACACACACATTATGAGTATTTCATTCTTATATGTTTAATTTTTATTGTTTAGTTTTGTTTTCAACGACTTTTTTTTATATATATAAAGATTTTTTCCCTTGATAATATGAAAGTTAAAACGAAATTCTACATTCTGAAAAAAATTCAGTTCATTGTAATATTGTTTTTATTCAAAATAAACAATTCAAAGTTTGTGGAAAATCGTGTGGTGTGACTTGCGTTGTTTTTGACGTCTGAATGTCTGTCGATTCGTTGTTTGTCGACGTGAGTTTAATTTGCATTGAATTATGAAAATACTGTGACTATTCTAAAAAGGATTTTTAACTTATAGTCTGGATTTCAGTTGAAAATTATTTTGAGTGTCGTCACGTAGCTTTTTCGGCCGATTTTTCCCCAACTTCTGTTTCTTAATTGTTTGTTGTTTATATAAACAATATAAGTCACGTGATAGGCTCCAGAAAAAGGTTTTAAAATTTTGGCGCAACTGTAGCCTTGATCAGGTCAGATGTGGGGACGTAGTCGACGATATGCCATGTGATATTTTTTAACCAATCAAATTACCTTCGTTGTGTAATTTAATTTGGAGCCTACGTTTTGTTTAAATTCTGAAGTTTTTAGAAGAATCTAGATCCTATATACCCCCCTGCAGATTGATAAAATATTGAGGAAAAAATATTTTTCAATATGTAATACATTCTGAAATGTGTAGGCCAATGTACCCTTCTGTCTGATTTAGTGGTTGTTTGCAGGCGTTGAAATAGGTGCTTCGTCTGTTGTGTGTGGTGAGATCATGACGCTTTCTCTAGTGAAAGTCTATTTAGAAAAATTCACGTATGCTAGTTTCAATCTGTCTACTGAGACTGTTACGTTTATTATGTATGACTACGCTAAAGTACTTAGGTTTTCTGTCTATGATCTGATAAGGGTCCATGTAAGTCGGGCAAAGAGGTTTTTTAACTGCGCCATTACAAATAAAAACGTAATCACAAGTGTGTAAATCTTTGGGAGTATAAATGCCTCGAGATTGAGTTCTAGTGGGTGCGAACACTAAGTCGTTCATCTGCTGTTTAAAAGATTGGACAAAATGCGTAGTCGGTCTTAAATAGTTGTTTCTGTCGCAAAATTGATCTGGAAGTGTTAAAGTTGTTTTGAAAACCATTTCTGAGGTTGTGCAATCCAAAACTTCCGTAATTACGTTTCTTATTGATAATAGCACAAGTGGTAAATTGTCCAACTATGTTCTAGAATCATTATTGGATGTTAATGCTGTTTTTAGCTGTATGTGGAAACGCTCAACCAGGCCGTTCGCACAAGGATGATATGCTGTGTTTGACTCCCAATAAATTGGTAAATTGGGTGAAAAATGTGGATTGAAACTGCGATCCTCTATCTGTAGTTATCACCGAAGGGCAACCAAAGTAGATATCTAATCCTGTAGGATACTTTTCGGGGCTGTTTCTACTGATGTCTTTTAAAGGGACAATGACAGGCCAACGCATGAATCGATTAATTATGGTGAGTAAGTAGTGATATCTTTCTACTTCCGGTAGTGGACCCGATAAATCGACGTGTAAATTGCTAAACCTGCCGCCCGGTTTGGTAAACTGCCCAACAGGGGACTTTGCGTGTCTGTCCACTTTAC